AAATTTATTTGAATAAATAATTTTTTTTGTGTAACAATTATTATTTAAAAAATATATAAACTTAAAGTATATTATAGTCCATCATTATATATAAATATTTTTTATAGAATGAGTAAATTTGTTTAACTTCACTGAATTATATATTTAAAAAATATTAATAATATATTATATGACATATTTTTTATTATTGATAAAAATTTGTAAAAAAAATATAAAATGATGTAAAAATCACACTCTTGATTTAACTGGTCACTATCCTAATTTTATAATTTTTAATAAATTTTAACTATTTCAACCCATAAACCATTTAACTTTTTTTTTTTTATCAAATTTATTCTGAATTTGGTTCTCTATTTGAATGTCCAAACAAGAAGTAGATTTTTAACTCAGTTGAAAGAACTTTTTGAAGTCTGAATCAATTAAGCTACTCCCATTAGGGTTAAATAGCTTTTCATTTATCAGCTATAATTATAAATGCTATAAATAGCTCCCCACACTACATTAGTCTGTGTTTTGATTCTTGAAACAATGTTAATCAAGCTTTAAGGTGGTGGTTGTTGTCGCGGTCCATATGAACATCTTTTAAATTTTAAGATAATTACTTACATAATTTCAACAAGATTGGATACCTAATTTACAAATTGTGACAGGATTCTTGGCAATTGCGTAGGCTCTTCATGCAAAAAGTTACACAAAGATATACAAAAGTAGTCTAATCTATCTACTTGCCTCCTGGGTATATATGCTTAATGGGTCAATCAACCCATCCTCGAAATAGTAAAATCAAAAGTTTTAAAAAAGAATTGTTTAGAAGAACTTATCAAAATTTAATGCGTCAATTAATCTAGCCTAACAATGGTAAAATTAGAAGAATTTAAACAGTGTTTAAAAGGGCATGTTATAAATTTTTTTAACTTATATCTTTGTTGTAATTTATTAATATAATTTTTATCATAAATTTAACTTTTGTATATAATTGATAACTAAATGAGAATGTTTTTAAAAGCTTTCTTAAAACCAAAGCATTTTTAGAAAATAATTTTCTTTATTATCATGTAAAAAAAATTTCTTACATTAATTTTTCAATTTAATATTAATTTAAATTTTTTTTTTCATACATTTGTTTTTAATTTGAAAATTTATATCTTTATATAATTTATTTAGAAAACAAACAAATATTTATTAATAATAATTATAATTTTGTTAATTTATAAATTTTATTAAATTAAAAATATTCATAGAATATATTCTACCTATTTATTTATATTTTCATTTTAATTTAATAATATTTGTGGATTATATAAAAATTGTATTAATTTATGTTATCAATTTTATATAAAAATTATTCAATAAATATTTAATTAAGTTAATTTTTCAAATGCATCATTTGTTTATAGTTTGCATCTAATTAATCAAAGGAAAAATCACTAACATAATATCAATATGTCTCGTGTCCTAATATAGTAACAAATTTTTTTAATCTATATAGCAAGATTTTTTTCACACTAATATAAGTTTAAAAACTTTTACATTCAATTTGTGTCTTTTATTTGACATACATTTAATCGTTAATAAAATAATAAATTATAACTCATTATATATAAGTTAATTAAAAAACTCAGATCACGTATAAGATATTTTAAACTTATACTAGTTTGAAAAGATTTATTTCTTATATATATTATTATTTTAATAAAAAATTATAAATAATTAAATATATTAATATAACTAAATATTATAATTTTCAATTAAATTTTGTTACATATAACTTTTTATACTGCAAACCATGCATCACATCGGTTGCAACAATAACAATTAATCCAGAAGGATCCTCGTTGGTAATGGACGAATGGGATTCCATACCTATCTCCATCTCTTAATTTATTTCTATATATTTAATTAAAACCAATTTTTCTATTAAATACACAAAATTCGTACGAAAATTTATAAAATAAAAACTAACTAATCATGATGGTTTGGTAAATTCAGTTTGCATTAAATAACATTTGAATGAACTTTCTGTTTTTATTAGACTTTATAGCTCATGAAATTGTATTAAATAATTATTTTAGGTGTTAATTTTACAAATTTTTTATTTTTATCTTTGATTTATAAAAAATAATTTTATTTTTATTATCATTTTATACTAAAAAAGAATCAGAAATATATTTAAAAAATTTGTCACAATTATCTCTCATCATTAATAGACTTATTTATATTAAAATTTAATACATATAAAAATCCATTCATTATCTATTTGTTTATTAATACGGTGATGCGTGTTTATTCACCAATAACCTATTCTATTCTAGAATAGAATGATACTTTATAAGATATAAATTATTTATTTATCATATTTTTTTAATTTTAAGTAAATAAAATTAGTATTTTTGTATTAGCAAAAAAAAAATAGTAATTTTGTTGTCTAATTTTAAAGTAATTTTGATTTTGTTTTTTAAAAATTTTTTATCCATTTTAATCCTTTAATTTTGTAACAATATTTCAAACAGGTATATTAACTCTGATAATCATTTTTATATTTTTTCCCCAAAAAGTCCTACTCTTGAAGTATCCAAATTCAGAAGGCTTCAAACTTAAAAATATATCAGAGAACACGAGTTATTCATATCATCAACTCTAACCTTCCAATAACATAACAAATTCGTATTAAATGCATCATCATTATTAACGTCATCAAGAAAATAAAGCATGACAATTATATGAATGTAAATTATAGAATACCAGAATCATTCAGCAGTAATAAGGAAGAAAAATGAATATTTAACAGAGCCTTTTTGCAAACTTCCTGAATGTACCAACTCGTTCTTCTGCATTGCGAGCATTTCTTACAAGCAATGGCGTTGTTTGGCAGCGACTAAACCAGCTTCAAGTCGATAACTTGCAGCACGACATCAACTCTTTCGAAGAGAAAATGTTAGTCCACATCGTGATAACAGCCTTTCTATCAACTTCAAGATGAAAGGGTAGCAAAGATATAGAAGAGAGGAGGAGGAAGGAAAAAAAAATGAACAAGAAGACGAAAATGAAGGGGGGGAGGAAGAAGTGGAGATAAAGTTCGAAAATCTAATGAAAACGATACAGAGCATCAGTGACATGGCAGAAAATAGAAGGAAAAAAAAAACTTTCAAAAGAGTTAGCTGTGCAGAAAAAAAAAATACAAATTCAGACGAGGAGGATAAAATACAAATTTACCTTAAAAAGTTAAGGAATGAAAATATTAAATTTAAATTTGTATTATATTAAAGATATTTGTAATAATAATAATAATAATAATAACAACAACAATAATAACAAATTCTCTTAATATTAATTTTAAGTTCAATTAATCATTTGATATAACAACCGTAAATATTATCTCACAAAATCAAATCAATTATACAGATCTTTTGATGTCATTAGATTTAATCAAAAATCAAAATTTCTGATACATTATTTAATAATAATTCTTTTAATAATTTCTTCTAAGTTCATTTTAGGTCTTTTTTTTTATTAGACTTAAACTTATGTCATTTACTCTCTTTATCGGTGCTTTTTTTAGTGATCTTCTTTGCATGTATTTAAATTACCTTAATCAATTTTATTTATTTTTATTATAAGTATTACTCTAATATTTTTAAGTATTTAATTATTTTATATTTTATTCTTTTTAATATGACCATTCATCCATTTTAACATTCTCATTCCTTGAGTTTGATGGACACTTTACAATTATAAATAACTTTAATATATTTTTCTATTTTAATTGCCTAAATTGTATTTTATGAGTGGCATTTTCATTAATAGGAACAAAAGTTCTTTTTGTCTACTCATCTAACATATTTTTAAATTTTAAAATATCATTAAAGAACTTAGCAAGCTGACCAATTCCTTATCTTCTCATATATTTCCAAACTAACCCAAATTCTACCGCAATATATCAAATTTAATTCATCAGCTTAGATTTATAATATTTTTACATTTTTATTTTACTCCTTATCCATCGTTAAAAAAGTTTATATAGATAACTTTTTCGCTTGTCTACAATATTTTAATCTATAACCAAAATTTTTCATGTTTAATACATGGTCTAATTCATTTGATATTATAAGATAAAAATTTAAATTAAAAATCATAGAATATAATTTAAAATATAAAATGTAAGAACATAATTGTGAGATGAAAATAAAACAATACCATTTTTTAATGTTAACCAAATGACACATAATAAAAACGTATATATGTTTTAAATTCAATATTGTATTTTATAATAAAAATTAGTATTTATAAATATTTTATTATGCACTCTTATATACATATTAATAAAAAAAACAAAATAAAGTAAATATTAAACAGTACATTTTAGCCCGATACCTCAGTACATGACATAATCCTTGAGCCTTAACGAATCTATTCAATTTATTGACGGTATTATAATGATAATAATATTTATTCTTTGACTAGTCACAGACTTGCAATATTTGAAACTTTGAATCCTTCTTACATGTTAACACACCATCACCAAAAACACAAAAAAATTAATTCATCTCTGTCTATCAAATATACAAGTAATCTGACTTGTTCATAGGAATAACAATAACGCGCCTTAAAGAAAGACACAAGTCACACAACAAGGGCAAGGTTTTGCTGGGGTACTTGACCACGCCAGCATATTGTTTTCTTCTTATGAAACTCGGCCAAAAAAAATTGGAAAATGTTTAGTCAAGAACAACCATGTAAAAGATCAACAGAAGATAAGAAACATTTCACATCGGAGCTACAAATAGGTTCTTCAAGTTGAAATTTCTGCTCAGTGATCAGATACAAAGTTTTAAATTAATAATCAGTGTGCCTTTTAAGAACAAATCAAATGACAAATTAATGGCACAAGCAACTAGTTTGACATGGTCGAGAAAGGTCTAGCTCAGGTAAGAATATAAGAAGATCCTGTTTGTTTTGAGAAAATATTTTTTTATTTTATTTTCATTTTTATATTTCAAAAGTTAGAAAAAAAAAATTTAGTCCACTAATCAGTAATGATAACCAATGACAACCTACCAGCAGCAAAGCTATTCCTCCTATTTGAAATTAATATGAAGAGAAGGTGGTTTCACAAGCCCAGCACAAAGCAATAACTGCCCATTTGTTTGCTAAAGCATTACAAAATTAAGGACTGGGGAAAAGTATTCGGCAAGAATATCTTTTTTATGGGAGAAAGAAAAAAACAAATTCATGATAAAATTTATAGTGGAGATTTGTTCCTCTCATTTTTGTTGTTTTTATTTATATTTAAATTAGTTTTTAAAAATGTCTTCTTTTAGTAATTTCATCATATAAAAGTGCTCATAGAAATTCATCCAAACACAACTTATCATTTTAAGTAAGTACATGTGCAAATATTATCCAAACACAAAATTAGAGATGACTTCTCACCTTAGAATTTCTATGATAAGTTCTTTTCGTATAAGTAATTATCAAATAGTTTATACAGGGCCAGGGTCTAGGGCACTACTATGCTTTACCATTCTCCTTGACTTCTAGTAGCCACACACTCATCAATCAACCACACGCTCATTAATAATTGCATCAATAGCTCCACCCAAAAAGCTCAGTTACAAATATATAATTCAACATTTCAATTTTCATGCAGGCGTGAAATGAAAATAACAAGAGTAGGACCATATTGAGCCTATTAATAAAAGTCATTATAGACTAGAATGAATTGAAATTGCATGGATTATTGAATCAAATAGATTCAAAAACAAAGTTAACAAACAGATCTCACATACTAGCGATCTATTTGGGAGAAGCACAAAGAAATTCTAGGGCTTTGTAACAGCATCATGAGGAATGGTGCAGCTTGTTGTAGCAATGTGTTACTTCAATGTCACCACATTTTCATCTTTTTCATTTTCAAAGACTTTCATGGGGAACACAGAAAATAACCTTTTATGTGCTTTCTAATTTGGGCTTATTTTAGAAAACATGCTCTATAATACAACCAAACATGTTTTTCAATTGTATTTTCTATTTTGTTGAAAATAAAAAAACAGATAATAGGTAAAGTAAACAGGGCCTAAATTTCTCAAGTAAGAACCACACAAGCAAGTTGATCTATTCCAGCTATACGAGGGGGGTACAGAAGTAAAATATCTAATAAATACAAGAAAAAGCAGCAGTGCTCTGCAAGGTTATCACTCAAATAAGCATATGAGCATGGCAGTACCAACTGTAAAAGACCAATAGTTCATTTTTCGTATAAGTTGATGTTCAAAACTACCTCACAGAAATTGTTTTTAGCATAGTTTTGTAGACTTAATATGCAACTCTCATGCCTTTTACTAACCTTGGTTCATGATAGTATAGATCAGCATCAACTACAAAAATTCTAAGGACTCAGTTATTTTCCCTTCACTAAACTGCTGCAAGGCAGACAATCACAATCTCCCTGAGGTTACATGCTGTAACTACCCTTGCCTATGGCATAAGTATAAAAAATTCTAAACCACATTCCTTTTTCAAGCCAAACATCTTTGGTTAACTGCTAAGCATGTTCGACATGCCTTTAATGAGGGGTTTCTGGTAATAAGGTGTTTAACTACACTCTCAATTCGTTTGTTTTTAAAACACCTTTTATTATTAAGCCAAGACTTGTGGGGAACACGCTCTTGAATAATTCCTTGTTTGCAAAAATTATTTCAAAATTAATATAACTACATTTCTGTGATATACTTAATGATCCTTTACTTTCTTAAAGTTCTAATTTATGGATTTGGATCATCGAACCCAATTACTTAAAAGTCTGTATTCTACAAGCAACATATTTAAGCTACAAAAGGTGATCAAAACATATCTAAAGGATTTTCATGGCATAATTACTCAGCAGGTAAAAGTTGAGAATATTTATCATCTCCATATCATAAAATAATCATCTATTGAAAAAAAAAACTATAGAAACAGAGCAATCAAGAACCTTTAAAATCTTCCCAAAATTCATATACAAGTACAGACGTCTAAAAATAATGAAACTGTACAGTAGAATTTTATAAATAAAATGCCCATATATGGGTGACAAGAAGCACATGCCTACAAATAAAATAGCACTAAAGATCTAACCAACAAGACAGGTATGTAACTTCCATCTACATGCTCCATTGAAGAAACCAATTTCTGTTGTTGACAGGATGATGCAAGGAAAATCTCAAGTTCCAATATGATAATGATTAAAATTTGAGTCACACATTAGGATTGAATTCTATCGGATGCAGGATATACCATGACATATTAATAACCAGATGATAAATAGTATTATACACACAGCTGCATCAATGGCTAGAACAATGCGTACTTGACGCCACCATTTCTTACGAATGTTTTGAGGGGCTGATCTCATCCTCATTGAACCCATATCCTTTTGCAAAGAGACTGATGCACCTGCATTGCCTTGGCTAATACAGTCCAGGTTTCCTGAATCAACTCTTGGTCCTCTATCAGTAGATTTCCTATGCTCCTCTAACTCAACATCTCTCATTGCAATCACATGATCCTTTACTTTCTTCTTCTCTGGCTTGCCAGATTTTCCCAATAAAGGGGCTTTAGTTGAACTACCACCTTCAACTTGTCCATTCAAATTACTTGGTGATGGAGACAGATCCACATGAAAAGATGAGGAAGTTTCATCTCTCCAATTACTACTACCATGCGAGACACTCTCCAATGAAGTGATCAGACTGCGAATAACGGGAACCAATTTTTCCTGAATGTGATTTGAATTCATGTTAGGAAAAATTCCTCTTGAACCTTTTCTAGCCAGTTTTTTGAATTCATCTCTAACATGCTCCAGAAATCGAAGAACTACTGAGTTACCAAGACCTTCATCAACAATCGTGAAGTAAATGTACCCTTCTTCCATAAAAAAACCGTAAGTCTTTTTACCTATTGTCTCAAAATACCATCTGTGGAAAGGAGGAGCCCTCTCCAAGCACAAGGCTGCAACGTTCTCAACTTCTTGGTCCCCACCACTATACGCATACAGGACATGGTTACCCTTATAAACACAACAGTAATGAACTTTATTTTGAATTGAATTCATTATAAAATCAGTAAACAATATCCCTGATCAGATTGCAACCAACTCCACCACAATACCACGCCCAAAAGTCTGATAAGTTACACCAATTTAGCCTCTCTCTTTTCCTAGTCTCAAATGTTAACTTGACTTCACTACGCTGAAATTCCTTTACCGTAAAATCAAGCCAAAGTATCTGATAAACTCCTCAAGTAAAAAGTCAAAAACCAAGCAAAGTGCAAGAAATTTTCCAGCCAGAAAATCAAAGGTCTCCAGGGAATACCAACACAGACCTTCAGCACCAGACTGGTTACATGAACAAAGGCAAATCTTCTTTTACTAAAAAGGATAAAATCTAGTGAAGTAACAATAACACACCATGCAATATGCAAATCAAATAAAAAAAGAAAACAAAACCCATCAATTATAACCCCAATCAAATATTTCAAGCAAAGAAGATAGCACGACCCCAGATCACAAAGTCTACTACACCAATAATCCAAAAACAAGAAACAAAAATAATAGAAAAAGAAACTTTAAATTTACTTTGGCAAAGCCAGAGATTTTGTACCTTAAGGGATAGCAGCATTCACTCAGAATAACATCTGAAAAGAAGTATAAAAGAAAAAATTAAAAATCTGCAAGTGACGCCAAAGATCCACAGCATAAGCAAGTTGAACATTTTAAAATCAAACAAAAACCCAGTAAAGGCTATTTATTTCCCCAAACATGGGGTTATAAATGAAGGTGAACTAGCACTAGTTCCAATCATTGTATGATTTTTTTTGTGGGTAAATTTCATTACGCGTGTTCAGAATTTTAATTTTACGCGTGGAAAAGATCACAGAGAAAACAAGATACATCTAACATACCTGATGCATGCGTGGTTGTTGGAGACGAGATTTGATTTGATTCATAGGAGGAGTGAAGGGAAGAAGAAGAAGAATAATAAAAAGACGAAAATGCCACCGGCACGAGGCACAGAGCGAGTAGCCACAACAATAACTCAAAACCGTGTAATGTTTGTGCCTATCATGTCATGTTTCTTGCTAGCTGGGAATGATATTGATATTTTTGGATTTGGGTTCCCATAATAATGCTTCATTCAAATATTTTAATATTTTCATAATCTATAATTATTTTTCTTATCAACTCTAGTCGTATCACATCAAATCCTCGACGTATAAAGTATTTGAATTTTTTAAGATTTTGTAATAAATAAATAAATTTAATTAGAATAATCAATCAACGAAATTATTGAATTTTATATGAATTATGATTCTATAAATAATTTGCTAAGTTTATGGAATAATTTATAGGTAATTAAATCTCAAAATAATTAAATTAATAAATAAATAAATTTATTTAATTAATTGTATTATATTTAAAATAATAAAATGATGTGCATGTTACATGCGATATCAAAATAAAATTGGTCAAGTCATAATTGAAACATGCCATCTTCTAAAATTTTAAATGATATTTAGAATGTTCTAAACATTGCTTTACCTCCTAAAAATAGTAAGGTGTTGATAGCTGTAATTAACAATATATAGCACATAACGGTAAATTAACTTAAATATAAGATTTGAAAATATTATATATTAAAATATGATATTTTAGAGAGAATTAAAATATTTATAAGTAAATTTTGAATAAAATAAATTAATTTTTAAAACTATCAATGGTAATTTTTTAATTTCAGTTAATTAATTAAAGTTCTTGTTTTTCTATATTTTTTCAAATTTTTATATTTTGATATATATTATTTTTAAATACTATATAAAAAATTCAATAGATAATAAAGTGTCAAATTTTAATTCTTTGTTAAATATTTTTATAAATAAAATATAAAATTATGTATGTTTTATTTTTTATAAATAATAAAATTCTCCTTTAAAATATTTAACATAATTGCATGAAATTTGAACTTAATCACATGTTAAATTCAAATAATAAATTAATATTTGTTTTAATCCTTAAACAAAATTTAATTATTTTTTTCAAAATTAATCTTAATCAATAAACTTAAATATTAACAAAATATCCACTTAAATATTTTTTAAATTTTAATTTTTTCAATCATTCTAATATAAATAATTTGATCATTCTAATATTAATATAATTTTTTTTATTATGCTTGTGCAACCACTCCAAAGCAATGTTTTTTCTCCTCTAATGGTTTTGATCTCTCCCTTTCCCTTTGTGATTTACTTCTATAAACCAAAGTAATTAGCAAAAGAATGCTTTCAAAATCTTATTTCCTTATCAAAGTAAAAAAAAATAAAAACACAAAGTAATTACCAAGATTTATTTTAAATATATGTTTATTGATTATATATATATATATATATATATATATATATATATATATGTCACTGTCTTAATGTGCCTTAGGGATGTTCGACACAATAAGTTTGAAGATTTCTTAATAGGAATAGTAGAAATCAGTCTCAGTCAAGGTCTGATTTATTTCAACTGTTTTTCAAATAAGACAATGAGTCTCATGGATGTAAACATTCTAGACTCTCTGTTTCTTAATATTTGTTTTTATGGTTTAGACATGAAAGAAAGATCTATTCGTGCAGCTTTAATGTATAGAATTCAGTACAAGGTCATGAATTCTTATGTATCTAGAGTCCTCCTCAAACCTCAAAAAGAAGAAACTACTTTGTTTATCACAGATATAACTAGAGCCAATGTTTCTCTTCCTAGGATAATCAAGTGGGATGAGGTAACTCTCTCTGCGAAGTGAGTTATGGATAAGGCTATGCCTCATATTCCTATACCTGCTCTTCAAATTCAAGTTATATCGCAAGATAATTCTGGGAAAGTCGAAATAACATTCAATAGGAGAAATTCATTCTTCTCTAAAATTGATGCTTTTAGCAAACAACCTGATTTTGCATCTGCAAGGAGATTATTCTCCTCCAAACACCAAACCTTTGGATCAAAGAGGCCTAGATCTGTAGCTCATGATCCCTCTCACATAAACTTACAAGGTTTAGACACCTCTTCTAGCATTCCTAGAACAATTTATTAAACCTCCGATAAGAAAGAAGAAAATCAGAGTATCAAATCTCCAACCTACTCTTTCCTTAATGATACTTATGATATTATCTCATAAATTTATCATTAATAAAGAAACTCTTAAGAAATATTTCTATTCTGAGAATTAGAAACCTTAGAGAAAGTGATTTTTCCATAATTACAAAGATAAAAATAATTCTGATAATCCAGAAGATATTTTCATGAATTTGATCAATAAGGTCAAAATTCAATAGTTTTATATAAATATCAGAATTATTGATGATTTTGTTCTTGATACTTTGACACTCCTTGATACAGGTGCTGATTCAAACTGTATTTTAAAATGATTAATTCCTACTAAATATTTTGAAATTTTTTTTGAAAAACTCAGCACTACGAGTGGTTCAAAACTTAAGATTAATTACAAATTATCTAAAACTATTATTGAAAATCATGGTTTTAAAGTAGAAACAAATGTTCTCCTTGTTAAGAATTTGAAAAATGAAGTTATTTTGGAGACACTTTTTTAGTAAAGCTCTCTTCCTACTTTAGATTTCAAAAGATGTGATTTCTACTAACCATTTAGGCAAGCAAATAACATTTAAATTTTCTAGCAAATCTTTTACTAGAAATATTAATTTTATTCAAAATAAATAAATTAAATTAATTTTCTAAAAGAAGAAGTTCTTTCGCTAACATAGATAAACAGTTGAAGAATTCATCACTTCAGAAAAGAATTCAATATCTCTTAAAGGATATTCAATCTTCTATATGTTTTGATCTTCCTAATGCTTTCTGGAATAGAAAGAAACATATAGTTAATCTTCCCTATGAAGCTGATTTTAGAGAAAGTCAGATTTTTACCAAAGCGAGACCTATTCAGATGAATGAGAAACTCCTTCAATATTGTCAAAAAGAGATAAAAAAATCTTAGACAAAAAACTTATTAGAAAAAATAAGAGTCAATGATCTTGTTCTGCATTTTATGTTAACACACAAGCAGAATTAGAAAGAGGTACACTTAGGTTAGTTATCATATATAAACCTCTTAACCAAACTCTTCAGTCGATTAGGTATTATATTTCCAACAAAAAAAATTTTCTTAACAGACTCAATTCTGCTAAAGTTTTCTCCAAATTTGATATAAAATCTAGATTTTGACAAATCTAAATCAGTGAAGAAGAGAGGTACAAGACTGCCTTTACTGTTCCCTTTGGAAAATACGAGTGGAACGTAATGCCCTTTGGTCTAAAAAATACTCCTTCTGAATTCCAAAAAATCATGAATGATATTTTTAATCATTATTCTAAATTTGTCATTGTCTACATTGATGATGTCTTAATCTTTCTCATGCTATTAATCAGCATTTTAAGCACATAAATGTTTTTATTAATGTTATCAAACAGAATGGCCTTGCAGTTTCCAAGTCAAAAATCAATCTGTTTCAAACTAATGTCAAGTTTCTTGGCCATAACATTCATCAAGGGACTACTATTCCTATTAGCAGATCTATTGAATTTGCTAATAAATTTTTTGACCGGATCCTTGACAAAACCCAATTACAAAGGTTTTTAGGATGTCTCAATTATGTAGGAGAATTCATTCCTCATCTCAATAATATCATTAAGTTCTTACATGATAGGCTTAAGAAGGATCCTCCTTCCTGGACTGATGTTCATACCAATGATGTTAAAGAAATCAAAACTAAGGTTAGAGAGATAAAATATCTTTATCTCCCTATCCCTCAAACTTTCAAAATTGTCGAAATTGATGTCTCTGACATAGGATATGGTGGCATTTTAAAATAAAGAATTGATTCTCATGAGCATATCATTGCATATACTTCAAAATATTGAAATTCTGCACAACAGAATTATTCAACTGTTAAGAAAGAAGTTTTAGCAATTGTTTTATGTGTTTCAAAATTTCAATCTGATTTACTAAATTAAAAATTTCTTATAAGGGTAGATTGCAAATCTACTAAAGAAATTCTTCAAAAATATGTTAAAAACCTTGCTTCCAAACAAATTTTTGCAAAATGGCAAGCAATTTTAAGTATTTTTTATTTTGATATTGAGTATCTCAAAGGCACTTCTAATTCTCTTCTTGATTAACTTACTCGTGAATAGTTACAGGATAAATAGAATGTCTAAGAAGGCAACAACCTCGTCCTGAGGAGGAGCCACAAATAGAGGAAGGGTCAGACTTGCTCTGACTTTAAATAAAGCAAAATCAAAATCTGTTTCAGCAAATTCCAATTCAACTTCTTCAAGGTCATCTACCCCAGTTAGGTCATCAACCCAAAAAGCTATCCACATTGTTGAGCCATCGACTTAGCAATTTGGAACTCCTAAAAAAGATACTTCCAAAAAGGTCGATTTCCTCCAAACTCAAACCAAAACAGTCAAACAAACTAAAGCCGATTATGCTTTACCCATTAGCACTCTTTTAGCTGTCTAACAAGGAAACTTAAAAAGTTTACCCAAAAAATCATGGGCTGACATTGCCTCTGAAGAAGATATAGAGATAGATTTAGCAAGCCTAAACATTATTATCCAATCCTTCAACCAACCCCAAAAATTGTAACGCTTCAAAATTTGTAATATTAATTATTGTTATTTATATAAATCTAAATGCGTGTATATGTGTGTATAACTGTAAATAGATGTTGAAAATTTGCATTGAATGCGTAATGATGGTGTTTTGTGTGTAATGAGTATAAATATGTGTATATATATGTATGTTGTGGATGTGTATATCTATGTGTATGCATGACTAGGTAGGTTGAAAATGGGCTAAGTGCTCAAGTACAAGGTGTAATACTGGGCTGTCTTCACTGCAGCGAGAGGATTCTCGTTGTAGCGAGAGGGCCCTAGGAGGAAGGACTGAAATTGTCGTCTTCTCGCTGTAGCGATAGAACGACAGTTTGGGACGCATTTTTGGGTGCAGTCTCGCTATAGCGGGATTCTGCAGAAACCAGAGTGCAGTTTTTTCTAAGTTTTTTG